AGAGGCAACGCAATATAAAAATTGTTTGTGTATTTGATTGCAAGCGTCACTGAAAGCTTATATCAGATCATTTTCAGATTTGATGTGCAGTATTGCGTCACAGTGAGAACTTCCAAAGAAGTGTTTTTTACTTATGTTAAGTGACCCAAAGTTGTGCTATATTTGGTTTAAGCGATCCCAATTTGTACCATCAAAAGATTTGGGTGGAAACCATTGCTTTGACTTAAGAATTCTTTGTCGCAGGAAATAAAACGTTCATCGAAAAACTGCTGTAATCACCGTTAATCGTGTTGCAATTCATATTGTAGACTTCTATAGATTCTTAAATGGCTAGTAGTAAAAAAAGTTAATACTTGAAATAATTTTATATTTTCGTTGATTTTACGAAGCAAAATGCACAGTATAAACAGAACTGTAACCGCTGAACTAGGAGGTAGACTAGAAAAGCTAGGAAAAATTAGAACTTATTAGGTCATGTCAAATGTACAGGTTATAGGAAAAATTAGCAATATTTGAGCTAATGTCACCTACCCGATGAGTCAGAAAAACAATACCCACCCGTGTACGCTTAAAATAGTAAATATTCACCATAGAATCTCCGGATGGGTGTCCAAATTCCGGTGAATCCAACAATCTAAGTGGATTTTTTTTAAGTCTCAACCATTAGATTGTGTATAGAATATTCAATGCATTAACGTAGGGTATTATGAACATGCAAACTATTTCAGATAGGAAATTTATTCTTTGACATTAAAACTATAGATTTACAATATATGCCTCAATTACTGAAACAAATATATGGAAAATGACAGTTTAAATGATGCCCAAAGTAATTATGACTCCATAGTAGTTTTTTTTTTGTTTTAAACAACGATCCGATCTTTCAGTGATCTAATTTTAGTCGGGCTTTTGGTGATTTCATCTCTGTCAAAGTCTCTTGATATAACGGCAAATGTAAGAAGATTTTCCTTTGGTTTCTTCAAATTTAAAGCAACCTTATACTGTTTTGCTCCCCTCACTTCAGATCTGAAATTCACACCGAATACAGATGAATGTTTATAAAATGTTAAAAATATTCACATTTAAATGCCTTACAATTTAAAATCGAATTCGTTTATATTGAGTGGTAGCAATTCCTGTGTCAATGTATTTGGCATAATTTTCATACGTTTTGTCATTGGGAACGTCGTTTGCAAATTCAATTTTGTAAATTTATATCGATGATGAACTTGTGACTTTGGAAACCGTACGCCACAAGAAAGTTTATCATTCATATCGGCGCAAGCAATCAAACTGCATACATCTTGACCAATCAGTAAATGTTCAACATGCTCATAGCGCCGATGCCCACTGAATACTGATATTGCATATGAATATGATGACTAAAAACAAAAATGCAATACACATATACAAAAAATATAATGTAACACACAGACATATGAAAAAAACTTACTTTTTCACTCTGCTCACCATTATCGCTGGCTTCGACTGTATAATTACAGCAAATATCTTTGGTGCAAACTGCTCCCGATGGGCTATGATTTTCGGTTAGATTTAAAAATTCCATTGTAAATTCGCTCAAGTCTTCTTCCTTCAAATCAAGTTGGCTGTGTGATTCGGAATTTTGTTGATTCACAATTGATAAAGTTCTATAATCTGCCGGCATGTTGACTGGAACTTTGGCAATGAGGACTTTCGTTGTTGGTGCTTCACTAACAAAAACTTTCAGAGCACCTGAACGTCCACTGTAAATGCCACTACCAGTAACACTCCATTCGGGTGAATTTACATTTGCGGCGAGCAAGTTAACATCATTCGCATATGCCCAACTTTGTTGAAATTGTGCGGCTAAAGTAAATCAAAATATATTTAACACATAAGACTTGATTTTTTTTTTTCAAATCCAAATGTTTTTACCAGTAAAATAAGGCATTTTTGAAATCCACCTTGTTGGATAAACGAAATGTTTGATACCCTGTCTCACTAAACTTATCATAGGTTCGTCAAACGCAAGATCAAAACAAATACCAATTCCAAATGTTACATTAAAATCTGTTTTGAATGTGACTATGTCAGGTTTTTCAGTACGTCTTGCACCATCATCACCAAATAAATTGTATTTTCGATATCTTTAATTAATTTAAGATTTATGTCAAATAAGGAGAAGTAATTTGAAAAACCGGTGAGCATTTGATTCAACTTACTTAGCGACGGCGCATCCATTTCGATCAAAGACAATTGCCATTGTATAAAGATTTGTGGAATTTTCATTAGAGTCACTGCATGGTTGGTCATCTAAAGAACACTTTATTTTTGCAAACGCATTGATAACAACATATTTTTTTGCTTTTCGAGCGGCACACGCAATACTTCTGAGTATATAACCAGATTTTGGTTCGTCGCAGTATGATTTGTTTGTATTCGGCAGAATGTCCGCTTGTCCTTGACGATTCAAAATTGTTTCTGGGAACACGACAATATCAACGCCATTCAATTCGGCTGATTGAATAATGGCGACAAACTGCTCTGTAGCATAAACGACATTGTTCCGAGTGTAGGTAAATAACGACACTTCTTTGAATTCAACCACTGCAGCTGTATATGTTAAATTCTGGAACCAAATTTATCAAAAAATCAAAAGGTATCATATACATCCAGTTTTTGAGACGGGATAGTTGATAGAGATGAGCGATAGTCGAATTCATAATTTTTATAATGAAAATGTGGAAAACAATTTAATAACAGTTAGCAAATGTCGAATACATCAAATGAAAGAGGAGTTTAAGGAATAGGTGATATTAATATAGTTGCTTTAATGTGAAATTAAAAATTACCACGAATAATTTAAAAAATAAATAGAAAATGAAAAAAAAGAAACAAATAAAAACAGTCTTACACGATTCAATGTAGAGCTGACAATTCCTCCATTGATTCTTGCAATGAAACTCTGTATTTTAAAAAGATATATCCAAATTGCTTTATCTATATAAACAAATATTAAATAACTGAATTTACCGTAAAAATAATGAATTCAATCAGAAATAAAATGAAAAACCTTTGCTTGGTCATTTTTTTTTAAGTATATCTCCGAAATTCTGAATATGAGCGCACTTATTCATGCAAAAGTGACAAATAAATTGTAAATTGTTGATAATTTATACATTTTATGATTAGCTTTACACCTTGTTTAAGGCATTTTTAATTAAAAATTTCAAAATTATAAACGATGACAGGTGTAAGACTGTTTCTAGATGTAAGACTATCGAAAAAATATGTCACACACTTTCGAAAAAACATCTTCATTGTGTGAAATGAGCTCGTAAATAAGTCTTGTTCAATATTTAATGTAATTCAAAATGTTAAATTACGTCATATGTCAGTTCGTTCGAATGATTTCAGTTGATTTATTTGCAATTGGAGCAAATTTAAAAAATAAGAAAAGACAAAAAACAAATAATAATGCTATAACGAATCACAAAATTAAGTAAAAAAGTATATTAAATAACCTTCTTGTATGAAACTCACATTTGCCGTCCACCTATGAAAAGTACAGTGTTAACTTCCCCAGAAAACATTGCTGATTTAAAAGAGAAAAAAGTCGTCGTGAAGAGTCAATGTCCAAAAAAACGAAAAATATGCGCAAGAAGACAACGAAGAAGAAGATAGACGATCAAAACACCGCCGATCGAACCAGCTCGAAAATCCTTGCGACGAACAAAGCCGGCTTTTGCATTATTTGCATGAAAGACATGCCTGAAACGCTCACCAACCTAAATTCTGTTGCCTGTAATACTTGTAATACTTGTAAGAGAGAAGTGCACTTAGAATGTGCAAAAATACGCAACTCTTGGTACACTTGTCCCAATTGTGACTCCGATGATTCATTGTGAAACCGAATTTTCCATTGATTTTTTTTCATTTCATTTTTACAGTTCAATTTTCACCAAATTTCGAAGTTTTTTTTGACAAAATAAAATAAAATGATTGGATTTTGAATAAAAGTCACTCACATTGTGTTTTAACTTGACTTCCCAAATATATTTATCGAATGTTTAATAAGTGGTCATATTGGGCCCCCTTCAAAAAACTCGAAAATTTTCGGAATTTTTTGGAGTAGCCAAAAATTGGTCAACCGTTGAAAATATGAATATGGTTTCTTTGGCCGAAAGTTACCTTCAATGGTGCTCTTTCATTTGGTATATACACGTCTAAAAAATATTTTTTCCTTTCAGCTTTAGAAATTTTGGTAAGATAGGTGGTCATATTGGGCTTACTTGCCCTAATTATTTTTTACACAAAAAGATCGTCGCCTGAAATACTAAAGGCTTTATCTATTGAAAATATCGAGAAGAGAGTATGTTATTCAGCGCTTATGGCCGTACCGAAATTATGCCCAAACTGTCACACTGCTAGCGCCACGACGGAATTCAATGTAATCTACACTAAGTTGCCGCCAAATAGTGAAAAGACTTTTGCTCAGTTGCAACCAACGGACTAGAACTCCATAGTTGTCCGTAGTGGCGCTAGCAGTGCCACAGTTTTGCATTTTATACAATCTCTTATGGGGCATAATTTCGGTGTGCTTATGGCTGAGTAATGTCTGAATAAAAACCAGTGATGGTTTTTTCCTATCTGAATAGCGCTAGCTATTCGCAGCGTCTGAACAGCATTGCTGCCCAGATGCTGAATCGAAGCGGTTGCCGCACGCGTTTTGTACCACACAACATATTGTCATATAGTCTAAGTAACCAGTGAGCTCACAGAGTATGATGCACTAATGCCATAGTCAGTATACAAACGCATGTCGAACAGAGAACGAACGCGAACGTATATGCTCTGTGTGGTACAAACGAAGTGTGTTGCGCGTGCGGCAACCGCTACGATTCAGCATCTGGGCAGCAATGCTGTACAGGCGCTGCGAATAGCTAGCGCTATTCAGATAGGAAAAAACCATCACTGATAAAAACATACTCTCCTCTCGATATTTTCAATAGATATGTTCTGTACTACACAAGAAATGTATCAATATGACAAAATTTAAGAAAGGAGTTTCTCGATTTATCTCAAATTTTTGTACCGATTTGGTATGCTTTATTTATTCATTTAGCTCGTATTTATTACTCTTTTCACAAATCAACCATCTGCAGGAGCATCATTTGACTGATCTCCCTTTGAAGATTTATCTCCCTTTGTTGTTGCATTGGTGTTGTTTTGTGGTCTAAAATTTAATTGCAAAATTAGAAAGATATAATTACATAGAATTTATGTCAAACGCATACAGCATAGCCCCATATTGAGAACTTCCAGGACCTAGTACACCCAACAAACTATTGAAGGCTTGAAGCACACCTGACAAAAAATATATATATACAAAAATAAAATAATCTCCGTTTATCTACTGAATGGAATAAGTGTTGAATACAACCAGTTACAAGTGAGGCCACCCCTGAAATGAAGGAAAAAATAAGATATTACATCTGTCGATTGATGCATTTATAACTTTTATAAAATAAGGTAAACACTATAGTCTAAGGTTGTAAATGTCGAAAACCTAGAGTTGCTCCAGCGCCAAAACCGCCGACACCTCGTGCAAGATCATCAAATGCTCCTGCAATGCCTGTTGTTGGATAATTAAAGCTCATGGTGGGCCATCCTTGTGCCTGCATTTGTGCCATTTGTAGTGGACTGAGATTGCTTTGATTCGTTTGATTCGTTTGATTGTTCTGACCCATTGGCGCGTAAATAGAAGGCTGAATGGGCTGCCCGCCACCAAAAATGCCATTAAAAAGTGTCCACAAAAATGCAGTAGACAAATTTGCTTGGCATATCAACACAGTACAAATAAATATGGATATATTTCGCATATTTCTAGTAGATTTTTATAAAAAACAACTTTAGAATGATCGAAGAACTATTCCAATTTCAAAGCGAACACTTTGATGAAGTTCAATTTACTGAAAGAAATTACTACTAAATAAGAAGCGCACGCCCATAAAAGTTTAATTAGAGAAGAAGCGGCGTGCCCTTGATGAATCAAACTTTTATTATCAAATGAATGGTTGCGAGTCCAATTTAAAATTTTGCAAACATTTTTCACTAATTAAAATGGATGATTACGGTTAAATTTTCATTTTAAATATGTCGCTTTTTTAACATTCACAAGTTTCATTCATATAAGAAAAATTGTCCACTTTATTGTTCTTTCCATTTCACTCTTACCACGAAGTCAAGTCATTTGATTAACATTTTAAACAAATTCAACGTCACAATCGATTCCATTTTTTGGAGAGAACAGTGCTAGTCTGTTTAAAAATAAGCATCACTCTCCATAATAAAAAATATATTTTTGGGAAAATCGATTCTGATGGTTTTAACAACATTTTTTGCTGGCGATTGATTTCAAGCATATGCATTAAATTGATTGAGTTCGAAATAAAACCATACAATGATTTTTAGATAGGATAGATGCGTAAGATCCCCGCAAGATCCAGATCCAAGCGTGCGTACGGTGCCGCATGATGCATACATTTATAATACGCACGCAAATTCGTTATTCTTATTTCCCCTTCTTTGATTTGCATGCCATAGCATTACGGAGTACGGAATGTATGTATCATGCGGCTACGTACGCACGCTTGGATCCGGATCTTGCGGAGATCTTACGGATCTATTCTATCCAAAAATCATTGTATGAATAAAACTAAATTAGATTGATTATAAATATTTTTGTTCCCGGAACAAAATAGATTTGTTCCCGGAACAAAATAGATTTGTTCCCGGAACAAAATAGATTTGTTCCCGGAACAAAATAGATTTGTTCCCGGAACAAAATTGATTTGTTCCCGGAACAAAATATATTACAACAGTTTATTTAAAGGAACATGTAAAATATATTTTATTCAAAGTACTGTCCATCGTTAGCCACAACTTTTCGGGAACAAATCTATTTAAAAACATTCAATTTAATTCATAT